TTCAGTCTAATCTGCCACTAGCTAATTGTTTAACACTTAAGAAGCTCTTTATTCTGTCTGGGCCCTGCTCTTTTTTTTTCCTTTTTTTATTTTTTTTTTTCCTTTTTTTTTTTTTTTAAAGATGACCGGTAAGAGGATCTTAACCCTTGACTTGGTGTTGTCAGCACCACGCTCACCCAGTAAGCAAACCGGCCATCCCTATATGGGATCCGAACCCGTGGCCTTGGTGTTATCAGCACCACACTCTCCCGAGTGAGCCACGGGCCAGCCCAAAAAATCTTAATGTGTATAGTAATCACTATGAATATTTTTCCTTAATGTAGATACTTCAGTAGTAGTCCAATCTATTAATCTTCCCTATTCTGCTTCATCTTTGAAAAACACTGGTAATTTACCTATATTGGTAACTTACTTAAGAGGTCAGATATCCCTCTATGGACTAGAAATATGGAAAACAATAAACATCTGAATTGAATGGTTCCAAGGGACAGAATCTCACTCCTATTTTCCTGTCTGTCATATGTACTTCTTAATATACTTGCTTGCTAACTCCTAAAACCTGTCTTATATGACATTTTGGGGACCTGTCATTCATTTGGAATATGGAGTGGTTCATTCAACAGATCTCTTCAATTTGCTGAAAAGCCCAATAGAATTTTTAGTCACAATTGGGAGTCAGTCTGTGTAAATAACTATCTTTGACTAGATGTTGACTGTTGGAAAATTAAAGTCTTTAAGACTTCAGGAAAGCAGCTTTTGTCAAACAGTACTGTTTTTCCTGTGATCTTTTAGAATAGCAAGCTAAAGATTTCTTGTAGAATAACTTTTTATTAAGAAAAAGCCATTGGGGAGAAAAATAGAGGATAATGTGTAAAGCTTTTTAATGAAAGCAGTGAATTTTGGATTAAAATTGAGAAGTACGCTAAGAAATAAGTATTGAAGAGAGTAGAAAAGTGTATGTTCACACATGCTTTACAAATGAAAATACTATGTAATTAAATTATTTTGATAAAAGGAATTAGAAAAGTTGGGAAGGTGAATATATAGGCTAGAGATTTGTGAACTTCATATACCTTAAATCTCCCTGAGAGATTTTTTTTAAAAAGTTTTTCAAGTTATGTTTAAATTATATTTTTGTTTCATTCTTTATATGTTAAAATAGATTTTCCATTCATTTGGAAAAGTGGTTTCATTGCTGACAGATGTTATTGAGGTGCTGGTAATGTTAATTTGAAAAATCAAGTAACAGTGATTAATTTGGCATGTTCTGTCTTCATTGAAAAATGATTGACTGAAAATCTGAATACACTGATTTGAAAAGTAATTCAAAAGAAATTTCTACTTATTTAAGAATACAAAACACAATCAACTTAGAGAATAATTTTAACAGATGAAATGGAAAAGATTATGCATGCCATAAACAGAGAATATACAGTTCCTTTCAAATCGTCCTCACCCTAAAGTAAATTATCAGATTACAAAATAGAACTAAGGGATAGAGAAAGATAAAAACATTTCATGTAGATTTGAAATGAGTAATGAAGAACTTACTCTGTGCTTAATTATAAAATAATTTTTGGGCCAGCCTGGTGGCGCACTGGAGAGTGCGCCGCTTGGGAGCACGGTGGCGCTCCCGCTGAGGGTTCGGATCCCATATGGAGACCGGTTCCCGCTCACTGGCTGAGCACGGTGCGGGCGCAACACCGAGGGTTGTGATCCCGTTGCCGGTCTCCGGTATGTGCGTGACACCGAGGGTTGCGATCCCGTTACCGGTCAGTAAAAAAGATAAAAAGGGAAAAAAATAATAATAATAATAATTTTTCCGGTATGTGCGTGACACCGAGGGTTGTGATCCCGTTACCGGTCAGTAAAAAAGATAAAAAGGGAAAAAAATAATAATAATAATAATTTTTAAAATAATTTTTGTAATCATTCGTAACAGTGATTTAAATTCAGTAATCTTTTTTAGGAATTTAATCTGAAATGGCAGCAAGAGTCACTAAGGAAATCACATGTTGATACATAATTCTGCACCTACTCAGGACAATTTTATACATGTATTTGACAAACCCCAATAATTTCTAAGTGAGAACTTGACAAAGCATAGTTTTCTTCTGAGCATTAATGGTTAGATAATTGATTAATTGCAAATAGTGCATATTTGGGAAATGAGATCTTATTAAATTTTGTTTTATTAATTTCTTTTCGTCTGTTTACTTATTGTATCCTGCAGATTTTGCCAAATTGTGACATCACAGCCCCACCTTGTGGTCAAAATTGATAGCTACTAGAATCTAAATTTCAAGCAAAATGTAAGAAATTTAATTTTTAAAAAAAATATGAGTTCAAAATTTTTATTCAAGGCTAATACAAATAAAAATGATAAATATTGGATGGTATTTTTCAAAAATTCTTTTTGAAAAATAATTTTTGTATTATGATATAATACAATATTTTATAAGGAGGAATTGTGGGCCGAGCCTGTGGTGCACTCGGGAGAGTGCAGTGCTGGGAGCGCAGCAGCGCTCCAGCCGCGGGTTCGGATCCTATATAGGGATGACCAGTGTGCTCACTAGCTGAGCGTGGTGCGGCCGGTCTCAAAAAGGACAAAAAAGAGGAATTGTGACACCTTATTCTGAAATAAGGGGTAACTAGCGTATTTCCAGTTAATACTGATGCAATGATTTGTTTTCAATTCTTATATACTTTGTAAATTGCTAAACTGCTATCTATATTCAATAGGTAATATGTGCTGAATTAATAATAAAATCAGTATGGAAGTAGTCAGACTCATAAATAATGAAGTAATTGGTTTACTGTAGACAAAATTCACATAACATTACCAGACTAGTTCCATAGGGTCCTACTGCAAAAAAAAAAAAAAATGCTGTGTGTCAGGGAAAGGTAAACCATAATAATTTTTTTTTTGTAATCAGCAAAGGACTGGTAAGTGCAATAACAAAGATGCAATTTCTGTGGGATGAAAATTTGGGTGATTCAGAGACTGTGAAAGGTACAATCTCTGTTTTGGCTTTCTGAGGATTAATGAAATTGGTTCCTGCTGATGCTGGTGAAGGGCAGTGCACTAAAGGAGTCCTAACTTATGCCAGCTCTTGCATATTCAGATGCTGACCAGGCGTCCCTCTTGATCACCCTTTCCCTCCCTCGTGCCTTGGCTGCTTATGGATCAAGAGGATCCTCAGCTAACTCTAGAGTGGCATCACTGGTTTTCATAATGTGTCAGGAGAGCTTGCCTATTGGTCCTCTGAGCCAGCAGGAGAGAGAATACAAAAGTCTGTACTGATGAAATATGATTCAGTGTTTGTGATAGTAAGTCTCCTAAGATTGTCCTCAATGAACTGTGCCTCCCGGGATTCATACCTTTGTGTGGTCTTCCTCCCACATTGAATCCTGGTGGGCCCCCTGTAACCAACAGAATGCAGTAGAAGCGACTGCATAATTTCCAAATTGAGTTATAGACGCCTTGTGGCTTTGATTCTTGGAACTTTTATTCTTAGGACATTCCCTCTAAAGTCCAGGTGCCACGCTGTGAACAGCCCATGCCATATGGAAATGCCACAGGCAAACACTCTGCCAGCAGCTGAGGCTGAGCTCCATATTAGCTTACACCACGTGAGTGAATTATTTGGACATCAGGCCCAGGCAAACCTTCAGATGAGTATAGTCCCCGTCAACACCTGCCTGCAACCACATGTAAGACCCCAAGTGAGAACCACCCAGCTGAGCCGGGTTAGTCAACCCATAAAGCTGTGAGAGAGAGGGCCGGCCCGGTGGTGCACTGCTACAGTGCGCCGCTTGGGAGTGTGGCGGCGCTCCCGCCGAGGGTTCGGATCCCACATACAGACCGGTTCCCACTCACTGGCTGAGCGAGGTGCAGGCGCAACACCGAGGGTTGCGATCCCGTTGCCGGTCCCAGTCCGGTACGGGCGCAGCACTGAGGGTTGCGATCCATTGCCGGACACGAAAAAAGACAAAAAGGAAAAAAAAAAAAAAAAGCTGTGAGAGAGAATGATAACTTATTGTTTCAGTACACAGCAAGAGATAACTGAAACAGGAGTAGTCGCCTGTACTACGCCTGCAATAGGCTCTCCTCCGAGCACTTAGCACACTGGGTTGTTTACCTTTCACTCTCCTCACTAAGGCTCCTGGAGGGCAGGGACTGGGCACATAGTCTGGCATACAGTGGGTACTTTTGTGTGAATGAGTAATTGAGAGTTGGTTTTATGTCTGAAATTTTATTGTGTTTGAGTCAAAATGATCCCTGAAGGGGAATAGGAGTTTTGTATTTAATAGGTAAACAAAAAATAAAAATAAATCTTTGTGTACTTTAGTTATAATGTGTGAGGTAAAGACTTGAGAAAGATTGGACAGTTTGTTCCCAAATAAAAGGCTATGTAGGTGGCCCTGAGGTGGACAGAGTGATGGACTAGGATGTTATGAAAAGAAGCTGCTATTGCTGTTATCCTCAGCGTTCTAGGCCAGCGGACCAAGACAGGGATGGTCAGTTTATGAGTAACCTGTTTAATAGCCATAGGTGTATTAGGTTTTCAAGAAGTATTTTGAATGGAATGAATTTGGTTTTATACTTCTTAAAACAGTTTTTTAAAAAGTGATTTAAAAAGCATTATGTCTACATACTGACTAAAAACACTGTATTTTATCCTCTAACTTTAGAAAATAATTCTAAAATAGAAATGTGAAGACGGCGGATTTTCAAATGCCAGGGAGAGTGTAGCCTTGATGTGTATTTACCCTGGAACTATTGTTGTTACCTTGGTTACTGTTTAATTGCGTTGCTCACTGGGTGTGGCCTGTTGGATTTTGACAAAATATCAATCATTTTAATATCTATTCAGTATGGTCTTAGAAATGTGATAAATAATGGAATTAAGACTTTATAATTCAAAATTATGGACCCGTATGAATCTGTTCAAAAATGAATTATTTAGGAGAGTTGTACCTGGGGTGATTTGGGAAAAAAAGACAACTTAGAAACTTTCTCAACTGCATGTAAATAATAGTTTAAATAGACTTGGGAATTAGTATTTTTATATAAATGTAGAGGAAATATTTTGAAGTTTTAAAAATTAGTAAATGAACTGGCCAATCTGACATTCAAAAGGTAACAAACAGCAAATTCAAGTGTGTGAGGCAATAAAGACTTGAAAGAGAACAATGAGATTCAGGAGTTACAATCAATCTAATTATATTTAAAAGTAAATATGAGAAGAAGGAACATAAACCCACATCTAACTTGCCATTGATTAGAGGGGTTTAATCTACTAACTGGAGACATTTCTTTTGGCGTTAAGATTTCAGATTATTAGTTTTGGACAGCATATTGTCTGCAGTGTGTTTTAGACATTTTCATCCTCCAACAGACTTTCTTGCAAATATTTAGTCCAATGTTACACTATTCTTTTAAGGTCTAAAATGAGGACAGAGCAAGAATTGAAAAATATGTACTTGTGTGACATTACTAATTAGTGTCTGCCCTCAGATGCTTGCAGCCCTGAATCTTCATCTTCAACGATGGTTTACTCTAGTGACATTTATAGCTATATTCACTGAACACACAGGTGCTTCTCAGATTTCCTACTAGCTCGTGGTTAGCTGGGGCCATGCGACTACTTGTGGCCAGTGGCCAGTGAGCAGAAGTGGTGTGTATCACTCCCAAAGCCAAGTATTTAAGGGCTCATTTTAAAGACTTTTGAATCATGTACAAGGGGGTCTTCAAAAAGTTCATGGAAAGATTTGTATCATCTTTTAATTCTATCTTCCACAGACTTTTTGAAGTACCCTCGTATATTCAGATGCCCAGATTCCTGATTCACTATTTTGAAGGGAATTTAAGAGCTTCCAGTCCCACAACAGATGTGTGTGAACGTGAAATGAAGTTTTTGTATGTTAAGCCACTGAGGTTTTAAAGCTTGTAGATTGTTTTTTTTAACCTGACCAGTACAATCATGTGTATGAGAAAAAGAAACATTTTATTTGGAAAAAACAGATTTCTGTCTGTGTTGATTTTCAAATAATAAAAACCTAGAGTTATCTTAACGTTTCATGATTTAATTTGTGTCATCTAACACTAGAATCTGAGGATTGCAAGTGGTCTTAAAAGCTAAGTAGTTCAATCTCTGTTCTAGCCCTCCCTCAACAAATCCCCTTTCAAGCTGCCGTGGTTGTTGATCACCCAGACTCTACTTGGAAACTTCATTTAGTGAATGTTCATCTGTTACATGCTCATCAATGCACCTGAAGTTATAAACATGATTTAGACCTCATCCCTGTGTTACAATCCAGCGACAGGCAATTCACTGCATCCTGACACAGAAACAGCAAAGCTTTTTATAACTATATTAAAATCTGTCTTTCGTGACTGAATGACAGCATCCTGACACAGAAACAGCAAAGCTTTTTATAACTATATTAAAATCTGTCTTTCGTGACTTCTACTTAAAGTTTGTTTGTACATTTGGGAATGATGTAAAAAATTAATACTTTTTAATATGGGCTCATTAAATATTTAACAGCAGTAATCACAACCATTTCCTCCCTCCCCTCCAACCCCCATGCCTCACTCTATTGTCTTAAAAATATTAGATTTTTCACTAGTCTTTATATGACCACCTTTGGAGGCTCCTCCCGGTTGAGTGTGACTTGCTGATTTTACAAAATGTTAATATCAGTTCAAGCTGTCTCTCCTATACTTGGAATGATTTGTCAATATGTCCACAGAAGAGTGGTGGGCAGATCTGAATTCAATATGCCAAGTAAAACTAAATATAAGTGATATTTAAACAAAGAGAAAAATTATTGATATTTTGTATTTTTGTTAATACAATTTAGTATCAAATTACTTTTGGTGGGGGATAGGCAACTGTATTATAGTGCTGACAATTTGCAGTCAGGTAACATTTTGTTTTCCTTCACATTATAAGCTGTTAAGCGATGACTTTGCAGTACTTGTTTTTGTTAAACCAAGTGTAGAATGCTACTAAGTTAAATTTCATTGTATTGGTTTTAAGTTATAGTTTTAACCTGTTGCAATCTTTGTGAAAACTGATTGGATTCTTTCACTCAACATAATTTTGTCATTCTCCTTCTGGCTCATGCCACCCCAAATGATGAGCAAACCTTCAATAACTGCATGTTGGTAATTTACAAAACTGTTCAGGAAGACCAACACAAATTGAAATGGCTTACCATGTTCTGTAAAACTTACAATCAGAGAGCTGATTATGGCTACAATTTTTTTAAAACTTTTTTTTTCAACAAACGATATACTTATTTGCAGTTAAATGAAAATAAAACATTGAAAATATTTACAGAAATACCTTAAATATTAAGTATTTTAGTGGTTCTGAGCCTTGGCCTTCTATTAGAATCACTTGGAAGTTTTTAAAAGCATTTAATGCTGTGGCCCCACTTAGACATTAAATTATATTCTCGGCGGGTGAAGCCAAGCAATCAGTTATTTTAAAATTTTTCCAAGTGTTTCTAATATGCAGAAAATGTTGGGAAGATCTTATCTAGCTCAACCCTTGAAGATTAGTGATTATTTCTACATAACACTTTTGAGCTATACCCAGCTTACTATGTGAGAATTTTCAGCTAATGAATGGAACCATGTTAAATGAAAAATGTTTGATCAATCGTTAAATATCAATCAAAGTGAAAACTACAACCAAAATTTCTGTTTTGAGAGGCAAAAATAAAAACCAATTTCTCTCTGATAGGATGCTACATCCAGAGATGGGACCAGTGCTATGGGGGTCATGTTAGTCCTAGTGGGGTCACACAAAGAAAAAACAGATTCTGCTTATAGATGGCAACTTTGGTTCCATCCTATAGTCTGAGTTCCTCAGTCATGCGCTGCTTCTGCTTTAGCTCCAAAAACTGTAGGACACAGTTTGAGAAATTTCACGAAGCTTCCAGATGCTCTTTCAATTTATTTGAAGAATTGAAAAAGAAATTATCATATAGTCGACCCTCCTTCCCGTGACTGATTTCTTGGCTTGTGCTTGAATATTTTGCAGATTGCTCGTCTGAGGTTGAAAAGCTCTTGTTATCAGAATGCTCCTTTGGAATGAGCTGATAACAGTTGCCCTACTGTCTTCCTCCCACCTACTTTAGCTTTGCCTCCCCTGTGTTAGCAATGCAGATGGACTGTAATTTTCCTAAATCTGCTCCTCAAGATAAACATTTCACGTTGTTGCAACATATCATCATCCTGTCCTTGAGGACTCCCTGCTTCTCTCTTCTTTGTCAACATTGCACTGCACAGTAAATCACCTGGAATAGGAGAGAAAACCACCTGGCTTCTGCAGGGGTTCTGATTGCCTCCTTTGAGCTGGTCACTGTACTTTCAGGGATAAAGCCTAAGATGTCATCATCTTTGATAGGGGTCATACCACATTGATTTAAAAGATCAATGGTTCTCAAACCAGGCTACACATTAAAATCAGCTGGGGGGAGCTTTCAAAAAATACTGACACCATGTTCCAGCCTTGATCAATTAAACCAGAATCTCTGGGGGTAGGGCCCAGGTGTAAGTATTTTTAAAAAGCTAGAGTGATGCTAG